CAGCATCTTGTCAGTTACCTTTCGAAGCTGCATCAGAGCAGAGCCGTGGTAGCTCCAGGTAGCGACTATGCTAACAAGTCTGTCCATCGTGACCGTCTTTAAGTCAAATGTTGAGGGGGAAACAACTACAGTTGAATTTCCTATTAGCATGTTTGCAGCCTTTGTGCAGTTTAGGAAAGACAATAATGTCCTGACTCCGAGGAATCGACTAAAGACAGGATATATGTAAAAGACACGGTAAAGCTACAACAGTGCTAATTTGATTTCGAACGCGGGTGCGAGTTAAATAATCAGAAAAACACATCCCGATGTTGTTCAATTATATCATGAAGAACTGAGTCTCATAAAAGAAAGTTTTTCTCGCGATTTCTGATGGGCTAAGTGCGTACAATACGTCAGCTAACTCATGATTTGGTAAATACGTAAATCTGCAGATTATAAAAGCAGACGGAAGGCTTTTACCACCTTTAGCTAAGGCAAGTACGTCATTAGAAATGAGGCAATGACAACAGCATCATTTTAAAGTAAACAAAATGCTTAGTTTGAACAAGGCAAAGATCACGAGATTAGTAGGAATTATTGAGGTCATATAATTTGGTGACCTCTAATTCAATTGCAAAAGGTCATTAAGATAAGTAACTGTCCAAGTAAACATCAGTATCCAGATTAAACAACAAGCTAAACTCAAAGGGGCACGGCATGATAGCTAGGTATTTTCAACCAGATGCGTGCCGCAGGTGAGAGAGATTTTTAGTACTGTCAGTCATTGCGCCCAATCCTATCACGATTTCATCTACAGACTCTAACAGCAAACTAGTGCCCGAGTGGTGGAAGGAGTGATCAAGACCTAGGCTGGAAAGAAATCCATCCTAAGAATCATGGCTTGGAGCCTAGCCAATTGATGGGAAAAGTCGATCTTACACAGGCAACAATAGCTCCTTCTCAATTTGGCCGTTATGGCAATCTGACTGAGGGGATATCCGATCCCCTCTCCCCTGAAGGCCTGCTATGTTACTCGAAACCGGTCATGTAGGCATGCATACACAGATGCTGTTTCGATTTATCAGCCACTGTGCCTGCGACCATATCCGGAGATATTGAAACTGTCTTGTCATCCAAGTAGGGTGGGCTGGGAGGAGGGGGCCGTAGGTGCTGTGCAAGTCTGTCTCACTATAGACTGATTTACGAGCAAGTCGCCGCTGCTGCACCCGTCGTGTGGGGTTGTGAATCACAGCGTTCTGTGGATTGACGTCATTATCGTCGCCGTAGGATTAAGGCCCTTTACTAATAATATAGCTTGGGTAGCAAGCACATTTTTATCCAAGTTGTTACGGATCAAACTTTTGGTTGTTTGTAAGTCCACAAATACCAGATTTTGCTTCGAGTGAAAATGAATTCGGTCATTTTTAAGGCCGACAGGTAACATGACTTTCCTAACGAAGGTTTCGAAGCAGGCACATTACGCCCAGACTGCAGGAAGGTGACCTCGGTG